AAAAAAGAGAAGAAAAGAAGAGTTTTACCTCCTCCTCGAACCACCACCGTGAACCTCGTTGTGACCTTCTCCGATCCCAGCTAGCCCCGTATCTGAAGGTAAAGCCTTCTTCTCTTCTAGGTTGGTTAGGGTTGGAGTACAGTGGGTTTTGGGGTTTTGATTCGCTTAGGTTTTTAGGTGAGAGAGAGATGAGGCTACTCTCCATGGCCACCGATCTACGGTGGCCGGGGAGTTTTGGGTTCTCTGTTTGCTAGAGAGAAGGGTTGAGAAGAAGGAAGGTTGAGAGCCTTTTCGGCTCTCTGTTATGAGGGAAGAACGAGTGAAACGGCTGATGGGGGGAGAATAAAATGATTTTTAGGGTTTCATAATAACCCTTAAAGGGTATATCTCAGACGTCAAACGACGTCGTTCTGAGACAGGGGAGGCCGAGTGATGGGGATTAAGGGCTAATAGCCTATTTGGTCCCCTTATCTCTGTAATCTTGCACGCGTGCTCTTAGCATTTATGGGTAAACCACAGTTAAGGTCCCTGTAGCTTGTGTAATGGTTGTAATCTTACCACTTTAATGAAATTTCATCATTTCATTTTGAGCTTTTATTTTATTTTTGTTACATTTTCGTCATTATTTGCTATTAAATATTTTTGTGGTTATATTTGTGCTTCAGCCATCAAACTTTAATTTATTTATACATGTGCAGTATAGTTTATTGTTGGTTCATTTTAGTCACTATTTACTATGTAAAAGAAATACATGTTTTATTCATGTTTATAATCCATGTATTTTGATTCTGAATGCATTTTGATCACTACTTTTATATTGGATTAAATGCTGAATATGGCTTGCTTGTTTTACTTTCATTTTATTTTAGTCCTTAATAATATTGTTGAGTTATTTTGGTTTCTAGTATTTGTATTTTTAATGTTTTATATTTGGGTTCTGTTTGTTTTGTAATTGCTGTTTAGCCCTTGAAGATTCTGTTTTTTACTGTTTTAGTTCCCAAAATTCATTTTTTTTCCATTTTGGTTTCTAAAGTTTCGATTATATCTATTTTGGTTCTTTAATTTCCTGTATTTTTGCAGTTTAGTCCCTAATATTTTTTTGTCATTTTAGCTCTTTTAATTTCCGTTAATTACATTTTATTGCCTTAAATGATTTATTTTGGTATTTTAGTTTGGTTTGTAATATTTAATTGTTTGCTTTTCAATCCTTTATACATGTATAGTAAATGTTCTTATTTAATATTGTAAATATTTTATTTGTCATTTGCAATCATATTTGTTTCTATTTTATTTCCTTAGTTGTTAATTTCATTCAAATATTTTTCAAGAACATGAAATTGTAGAACGGGCGTGGAAAGTACTATTTGACCGAAGTGGTGCAATCCGATACGACGTTCAAATAAAATATGGATTTGAAAGCACAAATTCTTCCTTTGTACGAGCTTATGAAAATTTTTTACTGTTATTCTATTCTTGTTATTTTATTTTATTTTATGTTCATATTGTTTGATGTTTAAATTTTAATCCTTATTTATTTATTTCTTGATTCTTAATATGAATGATGTATGCTTTGGAAAAGTATAATATGATGCATTTTATGTCAATTTTCGTCATTATTTTTTTTTTAATTTAAAGAGAAAATATTCTTTACAAGTAAGAAATAGACGAGGTAGCTTTCCCGGCGGAGGATTGCAAATCTCGGGATTTCTTATCGAGAAAAGGATTTTTTTTATTTTTTATATATTTATTTTAACTAATATTCAATAAATAGATCATAATTTATTTATTATTCTATTTTCATAATTTTTATTGTATTAATGGTTGTTATGTTAATATTAACGATACATAAATTAAGCATATTTTATTTTCTACTCATGATGATATTATTTAGTGGTAATTCAAAGATAGGATATACTTTATAGATGAGAAATAGATGAGATAACTTTCCCGTTGGAGGATTGCAAATCTCGAGATTTCTTACCAAGTGAAGTATTTCTATTATTTTAACCAATATTCAATGAATAGATTATATTTTTACTTCATATTCAAATTGTAATTTCCACCATTTACGACGATGTGTAAGCTACACAGTACCAATTTTGGGCTTTGTGGGGGTGTTTACCCTTCCCCACACGTAACCGACTCCCGAACCTATTTTAAATGAATCTTTGGTAACGTAGACCAAACTTTTGTCTTATAAAATTATTTTTCTTAAAAATTGTTTTTAAAAGACGTTTTAGGTATTTGACCTACCTAACCCAAAGGTCGATGGCGACTCTTTTCAATTTTATTCAAATCCATTCAAAATCACTAATTTTTCCAAATTAAAGTCATAATTGTTTTAAAAAAATAATAATAGAATAATAAAATAAATAAACCATAATTGTTTTAAAAAATGGTTATGACAGAATCAATATATTTTTATAAAGTATCAATACAAACCGACAAACTAAGTTTTTTGGTTGCCAAATTTTTTAATATTTCTTCATGATTTTCACCTATTACATTATTATTACTCTATATTTCTTATAACGCTAAACCCGAAAAAGAGGGGAAGCAAAGTTGGGGGGTTTGGTGATGTCCTTGTTTGAGAGATTGATTTGATTTTTTTGGCTTTTGGTTCTTGGGGTTCGGCTATTGAAAGCTGGAAGCTGGAGGATCTCTCTATTGCATATAAAATATTATTCCATTTCTTAACTAACAAATAATTAGGAAATAAAATCTTTTTATAAAAAGATCATTAGTAAATAAAATTTGTCGTTATAAATATATTGTTTAGTAAATTTAAATTTTAAAAATAAATATTAAATAAAAATCATAAAACAATAAGAGTATGCAATATTATTACCAACACAGATTTATTTAAGTGGTAAGCAGATTGATATTATTTAAACAATATTTATATTTGTGTTTGTATATGCAGAAAATTTTTCATTGAGAGACGCACCCACTAAAGTCAGATATACGATCCGGGTCAGATCAAATTAATCGAGTCTAAAATGAGAGAGAGAAAAGTCATTGTCTATGCATTGATAACCCCAAAACAAGAATATGTATATACACATTATTTTCAAGAAGATGATACAATTCATTGTATTTTACTTGAGATACTCATCACATTGATTGTATGTTTTTCCTTCTTTAACAAAAGGGTCATTTATTTTCTTAAAGTCATATATGAAATAAAAGTTAAATTATTATAGTTAATATTTAAATTCTGAATTTACGATAACATAATATAATAAAAAAAAAATTCAATACATGACATGAAATGAGAGGATATATTTTTACATGACCTTGAAAAATGAACCCCTAACGCGCCCAAAAGCATGCTATAGCTTAGCAATACAATAAATTTGATTTTAGCTGCCCCAAATCCAATTGATTTTAACCTGGCTAGACAAAGGGCAAATAATTACGTGCGACATCTTAATATATAGTTAAAATAAGGTGTTATCGGTTTAATTATTATTTTAAATAATAAAATTGATAAAAAATAATCGAAAATATTATTATTTTTATCGGTTCTAAATACTGATATAGGTAAATACGATAGAAAAAAACTTAAAACATTTTTTTTTGACGGATTTTTCTACCGTAATTACATATATCGGTAATTGATAATAATAACAAATCCGGTAGAAACAATAACGTTTTATCGATTTTATTATTTAAAATAATAACAAAATTAATTTTTTTAATCGTATATTAAGTTACCGCACCGTATAACTTCCCTAGACAAAGTGAAAAGCTTCTCAAAGCATACAGCAAAAAAGGGTATAATTACAACTCATTGGTGCACATCATTCGTGCAATAAATTTATATTAATTATCAAATAGCAGTGAGAAATTGGAAGAATCCCAGAAGCTAAAACCAATAAAAAGAATTAATACACGAAATGAATGACAAGGAAGGCCATTCATGGGGTTGGTTTTTGTACTATTTAGTTGTTTATATAATGAGCTATGATTTAATTGCATATGCAAAGTCGAATAATGAAGAATATTTACACACACACATATATATATATATATATAATATTACCAAATTCTTTGACATATTTTATATAAATATTTTTACCTAAATTTCATAGAAGTTAAATTCATTAAGTTTTTTTTAATTGAGAATTAGTCAACAACTTATACATCAGTCTTATAAAATAATATTTATTTATAATCTTATAATATTTTCTCATATATTATGTATTTATTTATATTTGGTTTGTAATGTATGTATGACTTCCACTATTATCAACTAAAATAGTAATTAATTGATCGATTAGTAAGTTTAAAAATATTATAATGAATGCAGGCATTGCATGTGTCTTGATTCTCAACAGCCTGTTTAAGCTTTAACATGGACCAAAAACTAAAGAAATTTGAATATTCAACGTGCTTCAGCATCTGATTGAAATTATTAAAATTTCCCAAAATCTCACACTCAGTATTCGGTGTCTTTCAAACATAATGCAGCAATCATCATCTCAATTAATTAATCTATAGCGAGTTTATATATATATATTTTCAGATTAACTTTGTTAAAGATATAAATGTTTTTCAGATTAAATTTGTTTAATTATATTAAAATTTTAAATGTGTGATATTAGATAATCAATAAAAAAATATAAAAATACTTAAAATATTAATGTATGTGAGTGCCTGATTTGAAGACTTGCAGAAAATCCAGATGGGAAGTTCTAATTTGTACTTAAGCTTAGACTTTAAGTGACAATGTAGAGTGCCCGACTTTGTTCAGTCACAATCAGGCTGCTTCCTACATATTTAATCTGGGCCTGTAAGGTACAAATTGATAAGAATGGGCCTTAAAGTTGGCTTGGGTTATAGTCCTTTAAAATGCACCAAAGTCGGATTTAATTATCGGGTCGAATCAAATAAAATTTTATTACTCAATTAATTTCTAAGATTGATTTTAAAACAAAAAAACAAACAAATAAATATTTCATGCATATTTGAACGAATTTTAAAAATAAATACACCCATATCCAAAATATAGTAGTATACCTTACAATCTTCCTGCCTAATGTATTGAACCCTTAGCACATGAAACGGGACCTCACATAAACAGCGAATACTTTGTGGCAGCGACGCCGGTCGACCCGCCGCAAGCCTAGAGGCTGTGCTTATTCTCCGTGGCATTGGAATAGCAAATATAGTACAGTTTGTTGACAACGGCAGTCAAGAAAATGAAAGCCGCCCCTGCTCCAAAAACTCCCTTCCTCACAGTCTCACATGACGGAGGCTGCTCGCCGAAAATGGTCCGGTATTTGGTATGGTACGCATTGCGCACCGATCCGGCCACCAAGCATATCTCAGCAACCAGGAAAAACAACCAACACAATATGAAAAGGATAACTGCCCAAGCCCTCGAACCAGTAGGGTTTAGTGCCTTTCCGCAGCAAAAGCATCGGCTGGCCAGCATTACAAGAGCTTGGCTACACATTAGGAGCCAAAACGCACCAACGCCATAGCTTGTTGCGATATCTGAATCATATACACAGTAGTTATACTTTATTTCACTATCCTTCACAATCTTTGCCTGCAAAAAGAAACCCAGAAATCATGAGGTTAGATAATCCGAAAGAACAAAATGGATGGAAAAGAGCGAGGCGGGGAAGTAAAACTCACGATGCTTCTTCTTTGTTCAGCTGCAACAGCTAAACCAAAAGCAATGAGATCGAGGACGAAGACAGTGATCAAAAGAAGCTTAGAAGCCATGGATTTATGGATCTTCCTTCAATAACCCAACAAGAGTTTTTCTTTTCTTTTCTTCCTCAACTTTCTTTACTTGCTCTTTCTCCCCCAAAACTATTACTCTTTTATATACATAAAAATCACTATCAGCATTGAATAAGCAAAACAAATTATTAAAATGAAGATGGAAAAAAAGGAATTTTCAGAAGAAAACAACACCTTCTCTTGGCATGGAGATGGGGTTTTCACCTTCCTTTTCCAAAGAAAATCATTTTTTAAAACATAAAATATGTTGAAGCAATCGGTTGGTAGGATTTCTGATTGATTTGCACGGTTACTGTTTTAAAAATATGATCAAATAGATTAGGTTCTATATCTAAATCTTATTTTCTCAAATTGATTTGAAGTTGAGTTTTCTCATTTTCTCCCTATGTTTTCTCTTTTGACTTTTAATTTCACCTTTTCCCAATCTGAAATAAAAATAATCTTTAAATCTATTAATTTTAATTAAAAAACTTAATTTTAATGATTAAAATATAAACATTATAAAAGTTAAATGGTCATTAGTATAATTTATTTATTTTTTAAAGATAAATAAAAGATTTTTTAAAAATAAAAAATCATTGTTATAATATAATAATCTCGTCTGATATTGTATATTTTATACGAAACTAAAATAACATTCAATTCTTACGAATTAATAATCTTATGATTGTTTTTTTTCCCAATAATATCATTTCTAAAAATAATTTAAATAAATTAAGTGAGAGTACAGATTCAAGAACAAGGTACAAGATGAGAATGCTTGTTTGGACAATAAAGTTGGTTGGAGAAGTTCATTAAGCTTTAAAAAGTAGGTTCTTCAGATAAGGAAGAAAACGCCATAGTTCATTACCTTTTTGAAATCCCAAAAAGAAAACTCTTGATGTACCATTTTTTTAAATAATTAATTTAAGAATAACATAACAACGTAAAAATTTTGGTAGCTTATGGTTTGTTGTTTTTGTTTATATTTTTTTTGAAAGATTAGATTTGACAACATCACGACTGATTAAGATGACGTTATTTATTATAATGCTGATATTTCATGCTTTGGACCCTTAGATTGATTTGGATACGCGTTTTGATCTTGTGGATAGTTTTCTCACGTCGCTTGACTCTGATTTGCGATGTGTCGGTGGTCTTTTAGTAGTTTCATCCCCTTTTGTAGTTCGTTTGCTGATGCAATCAGATTTGTTCATATCTTTATTTTATTAGAGTTAAGTTTTTTAACCTTTTAATTAAGTGATTAGTTTTTATGTTAATGATTATAGGAAAATATCTTAATTATAATTTAATTTATATTTACGATTATGCTCATATTTTTAATTTTTAATAAAGCTAACAAATTTCTATATATAAAAAAATATAACAACGTAAAAAAGCAACTTGAAAATAAATAAATAAAGATTTCTTCATTGAACACAGTAAAAATAAATAAATTACAAACCGAACAACAACAAAATGTTTCAATCGTTACAATGAGATGTATCAAACAAAGAACAACTGAATTATATTTTTTTTTTCTATTTTTTTTTCAGATGAGTAAAGATGTGTGAGATTTTCCAAATATATGAAAAAATATAAGAAAAAGAAAATGTACATACTAGTGTGGGATATATGTGTTTGGCACTCAAACCCGGATCCGAGTGGCATAGCTCAAAGAACCAAGAAGATGAAGCAGAAACAATATGGAATGTCAAGCGCACACACAAAGCTGCTAGCAAGACTTAACAATGGCTGTGGTATCAATTTAAGTATGGGAGTTACTTGTTTTTCTTCCGAAGAAAAGAAGCTTTCTAAACCCTTTGGCTGCTTTGGAAGAGTTTTGACCAGTGTTCCATTTCTTCTTGGAGTGCACGGCAGGTTCTTTCTCCATTACTTCATTTGGCGGAGGCGGAGTGGAGTTGATCTCTATTTCAGAGATGATCCTTGGTGACTCATCTTTTTCATTCATGTCGCTGTTTGTTTTGATGTTTACGGTCGAAGATGCGACAGTCTTGTTAGGCGATGGTGGAGCGGGATCAACTGTGATCATCTCAGGAATATCTTCATTACAATCTCCTGCATTTACATGATCTGATTGCACTGGCTTGTTATCTTCAATAAGATGGTTCCCCTTGTAGCTTTGAGAAATTTCATTTTCTTCGGGTGTTACGATCAATGTAGTACTCTGCAACTCTAGGATGTCTTTGCAATCATCGACAACAGCAATTTGTTGAGTTGCTTCGGGTGCAATTGTTCCCTCTTTTGAGTCCTTTCCATGTGCATCAGAATCACTGGAATGAGCTTTATCTGTGCCGCTTTTCTTATTTTTCAATAAGATAGTTCCCCTTGGAGCTTTGAGCAATTTCATTTTCTTCCGGTGTTACGATCGAAGTAGTACTCTGCAACTCCTGGATGTCATTGGAATCATCAACAATAGCAATTTGTTGAGTTGTTTCGGGTGCGACTGTTATCTCGTTTGAATCCTTTCCATGTGCATCAGAGTCATTGGAATGAGCCTTATTTGTGCCACTTTTCTTATCTGAAGCTTTTGCTTTGTTTGTGTTTGATTTAGCCTTCTGAGATCCGGTTTTCAGTGTCGGCTTTTTTGGCTGGTTTAGTCTTGATTCAGCTGATGAGACCTTGGAAGTGTTCCGAGCAGTTGCAAGGCGTTCGATAGTGGAACGTCTTAGAACTGGCTTTGGTACTTTCTTAGTCTCCTGAGTCTTGGGTTGATTCTTCATAGGAGTTGATGAGGCTTTATTTTCCATGGAGTTTCTCCCGGAAGTAACTGGTTTAGATCCATTAGCTGCACTTCTCTCCTCGATCCTCTTCTGGCGCTGAATCCGTAACTCCTCGATTTTCTTTCGAATCTCCTCTTCCTATTCAAAAGGAGGCAAGGCAGAGGGCAAGAAATTAGAAACATGTTGGTGCATAGAGAATTGGAAGATTTTATGTGTAAGGTCATTTAAAAAAATGCCATATGCAATGCATTAAAGTTCTTAGCCACATTAAGCATTGCAGTTTAGAGCCTAAAGGGTAGATAAATACCTGATCAAATCTAGATTTCCGGACCACGGTTCTGCTTCCGGCTGGTGGATTCCTGATCTTTGATGCCATATCTGATTTGCTCTTGACAAGTGATCGGTTCGGAACTCTAGATCGCGATTCTTTATTCGGAAGTTTCCCTTTGGAACTTCCATCTGTTTTACCATTAGTATCTTTGTCATCAGCACTAATTGTTGTGATATCCAAATGTCTACCATTTGCTTCAGCGGATAATACATTCATTTCGTAGTCGATTTCTGGAGCCCGAGAAGCGATGGCATCTATGTGATGCAGGGGGATCCGAGACAGATGATGCTGAGCTGTCATATTGCACCTTGATGGCGCTGAGATACCATGAATTGGCAGATCATCGAAAAAGCGATAATTGATTTGATTGTAACATGTTCCTCATTGGGGTCGTTTTGAGTATGTTTCAGTCTTTTGGCCATAACTTTGACTACAGGTGTCAGAATCGCGCATAAGACCCCAATCCGGAAAGCTCTTTTCGACGCGCACGCTCTTCATATGAGCTACGCTCCATGTGGCCTTTTTTTCAACCTCAAATTCTGCCGTTTTCCCCTCCGAATCACTAGATTTAGATATTTTTACTATTTATGGTAATATTTCGATTGTGATGCAAGCACGTTTTCAACTATAAAGGGAGTACTCTTGAACATCCTTTTAATGCATTTACTTTATAATAACCTTATAATATATACTATTATATTACATATCATGCTAAGGATATTAGTTATGAAGTTAAAGAATAACTTAGTATGAATACATCTTACACATTGTTATTTTAATATGTTAAGCATGTTAGGATAGCTATATAATTATATTATACATGATTATAACATATACATCAAGGCAGCATACTTATAATGCATTTCATTAGTTCATTTGCATTCATATTAGCTCTTAGGCTTTATACCTTACCTTACACATATTAGGAGATGATATAATTAGCTCATGACATTCAAACTTAGCTCACATTACCATAATCAAACATGACAGCAAGGTAATTAGCTCATATTAGCTCAATACCATGGAATCACCTTGTTTCCTTGCACATGTAGGTACATTGGAGCATAATAAACGTTGAGGTAGCTTGGTGAATGATTTGGACGTCATATGCAGCTCACAAACAGCTTACAAAGTAAAAGGCAGCTCATGGAACACTAAGGGAAGCTCGATTCAGCTGGAGGAGCTTAAGGCTAGCTAAACTTAGCTAGTTGAACTATTTGGAGCTGAGTTGCCAAAAGTAATGTCAAAGGTAGCTGAATTTAGTTGAACATAATGTTAAGGAGCTCACAAGGACTTAGCTAGGAAGCTTGTTCACAAACAACCCATGTTTGCTAGCTAGCTCCACAACTCAAGCTAGCTTGGAGGAGCCACATGCACGCCCAAGAGAGAGAACATGACCAGCCATCATCCCATGCACAAGGCTGCACCACAAGGCTCCCTAGAACACCCATGTGTGTGCCATATGACCAGCCCCCATGTGCCGTGCAAATGATCTCATTTAGGCGCCAAGATGAAGAGCCATTTAACCATTCGGCCAAGCATCATCTCCTCTCCCATTTGGCGCCAATTTGAAGGGATACAAGTGTTATTCGGCCAAGGATCATTTCCCTCCATCAAGGGCCGAACCATCATCTCTTTTAGCATTTAAATTATGTCTTTATAGGAGATACATGGGCTGGCCGAACCATTATGTCTATATTCGGCTATGCCCTCCATTTCTATAAATAGGAAAGCATTCATCATTTGTAATGATACTTAATTGAAGTGAGATTATTCTCTTTCTTAAGTCCTGGTGACTTTTTATCGACTTGTCAAGTATTTTATACTTATGGCGTCAACCCTCTTCTTTCATCTTGATACTTCTGGTTCCTAGTTCATATAACTAGTGGGTCAAAGTACTTAACACCACCCCTTGAAGAAATAATATAAAGATTGGGTCTTTGCTCTCTATAGCATTGGTTCTTCTTTGAGCGTTCTTCAAGATACTATCCTCACAACCATCCTTTTGTTTCATCGCCATAACCATAACCATTTCAATCATCTTCCGCTTTCATCTCTCATTTATTAAATAGCCTACCAATTAAACCATACGTTTACCACCCTTATCCATTCTGTTTTGAGCCATTCACTTGTGCAGGTTGTTTTGCTTCCTTCCTAGATCCACAATCAAATGAGAAGGTAGAATTACCTTACATCAAGCGGTAATCAGAGCTTTGGTGGAAGAAAGCAACGTGCAACAACAACAAAAAGAAAAATACAAAAAGAAGTGCAAGTGAAGTGCAAAAGTGAAAGAAAGCAAGAAAAATCAGCAAAGAAATTGAAAGCACTCGAAAAGCAAAGAAAAGAAAAGAAAGAAAGTTGAAGCACTCATCAACAATTCTCATCACCAAGCCTTTTCAAGTAAGCCTTTTAAATTGATTGTGGTGATAGAAGGTTGTGAAGTGACTTGTGTAAGTAACCCTTTTTTTTCTCTTCTTTCTATTTCTAAGCCACCATTTCATTACATTTTTTCCCCTTCCTACTAACCCTTTTGCAGCCGACGCCAAACAAGTAAAATTTACTTGATATAGTCTTGAGTAAAGTTCTCTAGAACTTGAGACAAGAGAATCGAGAGGAAAAAGGCTGGAGCGTGTGTGAGATCAGAAGAGGACAAGTAAAAGCCATTAAAGTCCTAGAGTGCAAACACGAGTGGATTGAGTGACATCAAGTTTCCTTGGAGTGACTCGTGAGGCTTTGTGAGAGTATATTCTGGTAAGGTCTTTTACACATCTTATTCTTTTCTTATTTCACTAACCATGTCTCGGAGTTTAGGACGATCCCCAGAAAGAGAAGCCCCTAACTTATAGACACAAGCTATTATGCACGAAATGACAAGATTGTTGAAATTAGAATTGGAGCCTTTGCAAGATCGTATGGATCAATTAGAAGCATCTTTAGGCAACCGGAGAGTAAACCGCCCTAGAATGGAAGAAGACTTAGAAGAGGAAGAAGCTGAAGTAACATCAGTAGCAAGGAGAGATGTTCATCGAAATCAAAATGACAACTTCAGCAACATCAAAGTAACTATTCCTCCATTTCAAGGACGAACTGATCCAGAAGCCTATCTTGATTGGGTAATCAAAATTGAACATATTTTTGAATGTCAAAACTATACGGAGCAAAAGAAGGTTAGGCTTGCTGCTATGGAATTCGTGGACTATGCCTTAGTTTGGTGGGACCAATTGGTGAGTTCAAGAAGACGAAATGGTGAACGCCCCATCACAACATGGGATGAAATGAAGGCCATTATGAGGAAAAGGTTTGTTCCTACTCACTATCACCGAGATTTTTATCATAAATTACAAAATTTGAAACAATGAAACAAGAAAGTTGAAGATTATTTCAAAGAAATGGAGATTTCCATGATCCGAGCCAATGTGGATGAAGATAGAGAAGCAACAATGGCAAGATTATTATCTGGCCTAAATCTTGATGTTGCTAACCTTGTTGAACTTCAGCATTATGTAGAGATTGAAGAAATAGTGTATGTGGCCATAAAAATTGAAAGATAACTCAAAAGGAAATCCTACACTAAGAGCAGTCCAAATTCAGCCACCAAATGGAAGCAAGAACCTATTACTTTCCGAAAGCAAACTCCAGTCCAAACAAAGGATCGTGCAGAGGTACCTAAAACTACACAAGTGGGCGAATCTAGCAAGGGTAAAGAAAAGCAAACCAACACTTTTGAGAGATCAAGAGACATCAAATATTTCAAGTGTTTTGGAAAAGGACATGTTGCTAGTCAATGTCCCAACCGAAATACCATGATGGTGCTTGACAATGGAGATATTGTATCAGATTCTGATGAGCCTATTTTTGACGAGGAACCTGAAACAATACAAGAAGAAGAAACGGAAGAAAATGCAGATCATGGTGAGATGCTTGTTTTAAAGAGGTGCCTATAATCACAAACATCCCAAGATGATATTCAGAGAAACAATATCTTTCATACAAGATGCCATGTCAAGGATAAGGTTTGCACAATGATCATCGATGGAGGAAGTTGCACAAACGTAGCCAGCACTCTTATGGTTGAAAAACTTGGATTGGCAACGTCAAAACATCCTACTCTATATAAACTCCAATGGCTCAATGAAGGAGGTGAGTTAAATGTTACCAAACAGGTTCTAATTCCTTTCTCAGTTGGTAGGTACAAGGACGAGGTGCTTTGTGACATTGTCCCTATGCATGCTAGCCATATCTTACTTGGGAGACCATGGCAGTATGACAAAAAGGCCATTCATGATTGTTTTCACAATCAATACACTTTTAAGCATGATGGACGCAAGGTGACCTTGATGCCTTTAACGCCAAAAGAAGTACAACAAGATCAATTGCATATGCGAAAGAGTGTACAAGCATGGCGCAAAGACAAAACTCCGACGAAAAATGAAGAGGAACTAAACAAGAAACCAAACTTCTTCATAGAGATACATGATGGTTCAATGCTGGAAAATGAAGGGTCACCTACGAAAAGTGGTGATGTTTGGGACTTAAAGTCACAACTCTTCGCCAATGATTTTAATCTACAAAAGGTAAGTACCCCTCCATATGAAACATTTTCTCTCCTCACTTTTCAGGACAATTCACGTGAAAGGTCACTTCCAAAAGGGATATCCCTAGATAAAGATCATTCCCAAAAGGTACCTGTTGGTAAATCATATTCCAAAGAAAGGCCTAAAGGGAAATCTTACAAAAGGGTATATAATGGAAGAACACAAACGTTCAAAGGATACTTTCTTTTAGCAAAGAGGCGTGAAGCTATGCAAGGATAGAATGGACTCGATTTGAGGACAAATCGCCCTAAAGAAGGGGGATGATGCAAGCACATTTTCAACTATAAAGGGAGTACTCTTGAATATCCTTTTAATGCATTTACTTTATAATAACCTTATAATATATACTATTATATTACATATCATGCTAAGGATATTAGTTATGAAGTTAAAGAATAACTTAGTATGAATACATCTTACACATTGTTATTTTAATATGTTAAGCATGTTAGGATAGCTATATAATTATATTATGCATGATTATAACATATACATCAAGGCATCATACTTATAATGTATTTCATTAGTTCATTTGCATTCATATTAGATCTTAGGCT